GCGTTTGTATGCGAAACGTGCACCGTGCGTATATATCTTCAGGTATGTGGAACACTACCTCACTACCTCCGCACGGAGTTTGCCTGGACATCAAGACGGCGCTGGTGAGGCAGGGGTTCTTGTCAGACTAGAGCTCTAGGAGTTCACCTGGGTCTGCTAGGTCCATGATGCACCAAGGGAGCATCCCAAGATCCTTGGACGAGACGCCTTACGTGATTGAAGTTGATGCACATGGTTGAGAGGTAAGCCAAGCAGCGCCCTGACGGACTTGGGTCTGACCCGTTGCCCTGCGCAACAGTCTATCCCAAACGCGGTTTCATCTCTTGTTCAGGCTTGTTCAGACCTTGTACTTAATGTACTTGTCCTTTCTGCGGCAAGGGTACCCGACTTCGCAGTCGCCCGACCATACCCCACGCAAGCCTGACGAGAGCTAAGATGCATGATGCTCATAATCACAACCGGGCATCAGCCCTTGCTGATTCAGGCCCACGACGGGGAGGACATCAGGCAGGAAGTCTTGGGATAAATCCGAGCGTCAGATCGCGAGAGCAAAACGCGCGTACTCGCCGTATCAAGCCCTTCCTCTAACGGAAGCGGCACAGACCGACCGTGCATTGTGGAAGGCCTTGGATGGAATGCTCTTGCCTGAAGGTAAGAGGTATGTATCTGCCCACGGCGGCTGTGTTCGTAGCCGTGTCGGCGCATCGAACCTTTGGTCACAGCTGGGGCACTGTGGCCTGCTAGAGCTACCGTCTGCTGGTCGCGGGAGCAGAAGCCGTATCGAGTGATTCAATGCTTCAACCTGTAAACTGACGTCCCCCGGAAGGGAGTTCGAATGACGAGCCTGAAGTCACAGGCGGTGCCCATGAGGCTTTGTCAGACTGGTACTTGTGTCAGTCGGAGAAGGGCTCGCTGTTGGGTGAAATTGAAGTACACCATCGCCAGCAGGAAGAGGACGCACTGGTGACAGTGGCTAGGATCTGCTTCATCGCGGAGTTCCTGAACTAGGAGCGTCTCTGCAGACGGCGTTTGACAGCCGCAATGCCCGGACAACATCGGCCGTCGGCCGCCAGAAGAACTTATCCAGCGCACGCCATTTACCGGAAGTTCATGTAATAGAAGCTGCCGTAGAGTGTGAGTGGTGAGATCTGACCGGCCTGCCCCCTCCAGAAAAGTGAAAGTTCTCGAAGCACTCCTGCCGGCGGCATGTGGCCCTGCCGAGCCTGCACACTGCTCGAAATCTGTTCACCGCTGCTCGTCTGTCACCCCCCTCCCGCTCAACATGCCCACCTACTTCAGGCCAGTAGTTCACGGAGAACTTGGTCACGAAAGCTTTGCCGCTGAGCAGGTCCAGGAAATCGAGGATCAGGGAGTCGTCCTGGGGCCTCAAGGCTGAAAGCAATTCGGGCAATCATGGTAGCCCAGACAGTGGCATGCCAGACTGATACTTGAACTCTCCTGGCAAAATCCTGGTTGACCTCTTGTTGGCATTGACCTGAAAGCCATGATGTTGCAAAACCGTTAACAGGTCCTCTATCAGCTTGTGAGCCTTGATCAGGACCTGGAGTTGATGTCCCTGTGAAAAGTAAGGTCGTCCGCATACCCAGTAAGCTACCGGAGCACCGCTGCTGTTCCTGCCAAGGCAACGAGTTCACGAAACATGGCGGCCGTCAACATCGAGAATAGGGTCGGAGACAGCTTGCAACCTTGTTTTATGCCAATTGTCGAGGTTACGCTGGTGCTTGGGCTTTGATGCCACAGCGGCTGCCAGCCAGCAGCGCTGCCACCAGATCCTTGGTGTCCGGCTCCTCACCGGCCGCGTCCAGCGTGTCGAAGGCTTGTGAAAGGTCGAGCGTAAAGCTTATGCCGCCCTTAAGTTGGACCTTGCCTAAATCCTGTGCCCGTCAAATTCTGCGATGGGTCTGGCAAGCCGCGCACAGAGGTGACACGCTGAACTGCTCAGCCTAGACCGTCAGATGGTCGGCTTGAGGAGGTCCCTGCAGGCCGCTGCCAGGCCCTTCCTTTCCGTCCGGACGGTCGTAAGTTTCCCGGCGTCGTCGCCGGTTTAGACGGTTTGGGGATAAAGCACATGTCCGCGTCCTTCAGCGGTGCTGATAGGACTTCGGAAGCCAGGCATGGGCTGCAGGTGCTGTGCGAGACTTGCACCAGCCGAGTCTGCGCAGAGCTTCAGACAGCCGGGACCCAAAAGGATGCGATAGCAACTGACCTGGAATTGAATTTCCGGGAGACTCCGCACTGTGTGTTCCAAAGGCAGGTTTTTCGCAAAGACCTTTTTCACATGTGTTTCCAACAGTGAGAGTTCGTCTTGACGTCTTGTGGTCTTATTTGCGGTTCCCAGGGACGAAGCTTACGCAAGGTTTTATGTGCCAGATACGCATCGCCTTTGCGTCTACCTCATCCTGGAAATCCTTCGCCCTTTTTCCGTGCCTGGTTGATCGCCTGCTTGTGCCAGGCCGCCAGATCCTCCATCATCGAGTGGTCTGCATTTGTCAGGGCACAGGATGCGGCTTCGTGTTCTATCTGCTCTAGGCTTTGACACATGCACAAAGTAGCCCTATGTTGTGCGCGTTCTGGGGCTTTACAGGATTGAGGCACCGCAAAAAAAGCGGGCTGCTCTTTCTAGCAAGACTTGATTCACCTTATCCGGATAGTGGTTCGTTTCCTCGAAGCGCCGTCTAACCCAAGCTTGCATGTCCTGTGCCGTGGTGCTATGCGAGCGGACAGCTGCTTCCAAGACAGCCTGGCAATAGCGAACCGAAGGCTTAGGGAGGTTCCAATGCCTAATTTGGACGAACCTGTGCTACGAGAGGAAACTGGCCGCACTTTCTCCACCCACCCATATCCAGGTCAGGGAGAGGCTTAAAGCTTGGCCAGGCCACGGGAGGAGTTCGGGACGGCGAAGATGAAGTCGATCTGCGACTTCGTGTCTTCCTGCTGGAACGTGTGACCTCTGCCACGGCTCCACGTGTTCAAGGCCACCAACCTATGTGATTCTACAAAGCCTGGCTTGCCTGCAGCTGTGCATTGGAAGTCTCCGGCTAGCGGAGGAGTATCTGTGGCTGGAATGGCACGGAGCACAGAGGCCAGGATGCCCAGAGAAGCTTGGAGCGGTGCTCCTTGTACTGTTGATAGTCTTCTGTTAGGACCACACATGCGGGTACGCTACAAGCACATGCACCTCGGCACTGTGCCAGGGAAACGAAGCTTGCATGAAGTGGCCTCGGATAGGAGCAGCGAAAATTCGGCTGTTTCGTTCCAATGTGTTTTTTTGCAAAGCGATGATATCACAAGCTTCCTGAAGCCGTGTCTTAATTTCAGCACACTGCTGTAATCCCCAATGCCCAGCATTCCAAGACAACGGTCGAAGTGGCATATTCTGAGCGCCCGCACATGGGCGACGCTCCCTCGGGGGAGCGAGGATGTTGTTAGTGAAGGGTGCGCAGCTGAATGAGCCGCAAGCAGGGTTGGCTCGAGGCCGCTGCTCCTCAAGTAGTCAGGCGTGAGTGTGCCATGACGATACTGTTGACTGGTTGTCGTGTGAAAAACAATGAAAAACCGCTTGCAGGCCCTGCAAAAAGCTTTCTTGCGCATGCTAGTCTGTGAATTCTGCTGCCCAGGCGATGCCGCCAGCCGCGAGTTTCGAATCCGAGACCGAAGTCAAATTCCTTTCACCCACCTACAGGTGAAAACCCTACCGCCTACTTCGGCCCTGTCATGCGTGACGTTCGTAGCGAGGCCCGGGAATTGGGACCCGACAGATCACAGAGGCGTTCGGCAGCACCAGCGTTTTCGTCTTATCTCGTAACACTGGCTTCGCTGCCCGGCCTCACAGATTTGATTAAGTTCAGGGTCGTTTTTGTTGGGGGGCTGGTGCCTTGGTGAAGGGAGCCTGTCATGAGCCTCTCGAGTTGGTACCCAAGGCCAGGTTGGCACAGCTACACTGCCTTTTGAAACTTCTGTGATCCGTGGCGGCTACGACAACAACAGCAACAGCAACAACAATAACAACGACAACGGCAGTCTGCACGCCTTGGGGCACTATTTTATCCACAATCCTCGGCTCCTCAGCTCTAAAACATTGCATCCAGCTTCGCAGAATGCAGGTCTCAGAAAAAGGAGTCTGAGCATGGCCGTTTGTTTCCACGAAAGGACACGACCGATCTTGTCAAGATCAAGGAGTTGTCTCCGCCTTGTAGACTGATAGACATGGGTTTCAGGAACAACATTGAGTCCAAACTTCACTAGAAAGCTTTGATCGGGCGGGATTTCGTGCTCGGCGTGACAGTCATGTTGCGATCAACACCAGAAAGAGAAGAAAGAAGCTGGACAGTGACTGACGAGCAAAGCCTACGTAAAGGAGTGGTCTTTATGTCTCGGAAGTCATGGACACAGGATGGGAACCGCAAACCCTCGAACAAGTGATGGCGAGGTAAAGACCGATGCTCGCAAGATGTGTCTCCAGAAGATGAGATACGGAAGCAAGTGAGGGTGCCAACAGAAGAGAATGGTCGGGCAGAAAAGCGGAGAATAGTGGCACAAACGTTGACCGCCGGGAAGACTGACGGTGAAGCACGAGCCGAGAGGCAGCACGGCAGCTTTTCATGGTTCAACTCCGTCCGCCTGGTTTTCTGACACAGCGGCGACTTCTGGTCTTTTGGTATCTATGTTTGCAGCACATTTTCCGCATGGTTCCACGACTAAAGCCAATGAAGCTGACATGAAATGTGTTTGCATTACCCTCGACTTTCGCATGCTCAGCGGAATCATCGTCCGGCCACAGCTGAAAGCTGAACCTCTGTCAGAAGGCCAAGGGTCCCACAAAGGTAGGCCCACAGGCTCTGCCGCTTCGGCAGATCGCAAAACTACGCGGAAGCTTTGCCTCTCGAGAGTTCCGTCAACGTCGGCTCGTTGGCCATTGTTGAGCACCGGGCTGTTGCTTTCTTGTACTCGATTAGACTAGCCATAGCCACAGATAGACCCTATAAACAAGTCACTAGGAGGACCGCTGCACGGCTTCCAGCGAAGCTCGAAATGCTCGACTTTCGCGTCAGCCGTTGCGGCTCTGCACTTCTCAAGACGTGCGATCTATGACTTCTATGCTCAGCGCAATGATCAAGCGGAGCGCTGAGTGCTAAGAAAGGCTGTGCCACAGTCCTTCTGATCCACACCCATGCAATAAAATAGCTACCTTCTGGACTACACAGGAAAGGATAAAGAGAGCTCTCAGAATGACTGCAAGACTCAGCGGCTGCCTAGTAAAAAAAGACTTCCTGTATCCTCAGTATCCGTCGTTCTCGGAAAGAAGCCAGCAGTTATACCATTTGTCGACTTGCTTGAACGCGTGGAATGCCACGGTGGCCCTTCGATTGCAAAAGATGCAAAAGCTAGAAACCTAAGCCTCTGCCTGTCTCGGATGAGTTCGGACCGAGGCTCTTGTTTCCACAGTCCACGCCCCAACATCGCTCATCATGCAAGAAGTTTCCAAAGTCGACAACCTGAATGCTTGGCACCGCAGTCGGGCCCATGGCACAGATCAATGAAGCTGCCACTACAGCCACCCCATCGACAATAAGCGAAGATGTCTTTCCGAGCGGCAGGTTTGCTTCCCAGGCTTTCGAGACAGTTGGTCATGTACTTGTCTTCGCCCCAAGCACCAAATGGGAATCGCTGCTCGCAACTGCGCAGCGTCATCATAACCAATGGCTGACAAGCTGCAACAAGCAAGGCTTTAATGATAAGTTTTGCACTGCCGACCTCAGCATGCGCTTAGAGTCTTAGCACAGCGATGCTTACCACGTGCCTCACGACAACATCACCTGAGTCCGTGCAAAAATGCAGGCACCTTGCGTGCTGCGATAGGTACGCACCCAGCGAAGACTTCGAGAAGACTTCGAGGGCCCCGTACATAGTGACCTTGACGAGAAAAGAGGACTAGACCTCTTCCCAAGACAACTGTTACAGTGTTACAGTATGCTCTGTCAAGCAGTAGAGCGAAGTTTCCCGTCACTTGCACAGGCAAGTCTGTGGCCCGAACATGTTATTGAGCCAACAACGACAGGACAGCACTCTGCTCCGCTCAATTGCAAGACTACAGACTCCAACAGTCTGCATCCGTGTGAACACAGGCCGTGCGCGACGCACCTGCATGGCAGGTCACAGCTGCTGAGCCGTTTCAGATCTCAGTCCCAGGCAATCCCTGTTCAAGCCTGCTTCCTTTCAAGGTCCGATTTCATGGAAGTCGAGACATTACACAGGCGGGCTATCACCTGCTTTGAAAGTCTTCGGATCCGGTTTGTTTAGAAAGCGTTTGCAGCCATAGGGTGAGTATGTCTGCGCATCTTCACAGCCCGCCCCCGCCCCCGCCTTTGCCCATCGAACACATACTCCCGATCATTGGGACAACATTAAAACTTAAACGAAACACACCTCGCAGCCCACGCAGTAGGTTTTTCCGGCTCGACTACCAACACTCTGGCTTAGCCATGAGTTCCGAATAAGCCAAGGCTCCGGAATGTACTTGCCGCAGTTCCTCAGCAGACATTGCCACACCCTCGTCTACCCAGCAGTCTTTATTATAAGCATTGCAACAAACATCAAGTTTGCCACGAGAACCTCCATCACTCTCCGCAGATTCTTGGGACCGCTGTAGCTGGCCGAGCAAGGGCTTGTCTACGGAGTCTACAAGCTTCTGTGGCCGAAACAATCGCCAGTCAGGTCAGGCATCAGAAAGAACACATTCTGGCCAACATACTTGGCGACATGTCCTCGTAACCGCGACGGGAAAAAGACGCAGTCGGGATCGACCTCCCAGGGAAATGTCAGGAGCTCGATGAAACTGTTTGACCGACCACATCTTCGCTCCACTTACGTGGCGACTCATGCCATTCGAAGCCTTGGCAATAAAGTCGTACTTGTACCACTCACTGCCGGTCCTTATAATAATGCAAGGTCTTCGATGTACAGCACTGCTAGTGCAGCTGAGGAGCAGGATTGCCATCCAAGTTTTCATGAAAACCTGCGAGTTGGCCGCATATCCGTCCCGGCTTACTCCAGCATAAGTGGATGGAATGAGTTTCCTCGGCATGAAGCACACCATGCGTGTAATCCGCTTCCACGCTGAACCAATGCCGCGAGCATCCCCTCTCAAGCAACAGGGGCCGTCAAAAAAAGTATCTCCCACGTACTCAAAGCCCGTGTACGGCAGAATCGTGTGCAAAGCTGCGAAGCCTTTCACCCAGCACGCCTTATAGAACAGCTTAATAAAGCTGGGGATGGCAAACCCTGACAAAGCTGAAAGTAGAAACCGAATAGAACCACCACTACGACATGGCTGAGCATCGTCTGGAAGCCATCAATGTTTACGTGGCTGTCGCTGTAGACCTAGTGCAACGCTGGAGATCGTCAGACGTTCGCTGGATGTTGACCAATCGTGCTGCCATGTGGCGGAAAAGCCATCGCACCCAAATATCCCGCTTCTGATCTGCTGCTGCATGTACATTATGTCCATTTCCTGAGCAATTCAGTGTTAGCATCTCTCACTCCAAGCTGGAACTTGCAAAAAACGCTTGATGATTATGCAGCCTCACATTGGCTTGACTTGGAGCTGGGTCCCGAAGCTACGTGTTCAGGCTCAAATTGTCAGAACTTGAAATCGTACGAGGTTACATGTTCGCACGAAGGATGTCACTCACGGCGCAGTCATTCATGCATTGGTGCTGGGATGATGGACAAGAATATCAAAGGAAATGGCCCTTCCCGGTCTGGCAGCTTCACAGCAAGCAAAATGCTCGGACATGGAACTCTGAAGGATCCGGTCCCTGGAATCTTGCGGTCGGTGGAAAGACTTCGCTGATTCTGAGGTACGCCTAGGAGCTTACATGACGATGTAGAACCGTAAAAAGAACTGTAATATGCAAAGTTTCTTACGATAGCTGCTGGTGAGTCTGAAATATGCTGCTCTCGGACAAGTGGCAGGTCCCTTTCTGGCCACAGAGAAACAATACAATGACGGCTTGCCTTTGTCCTTCCAAAAGATTAACAGCTTTCATGGCTTTCATCCACTTCGAACTGATCGCATGTCTCAGCTGACAAGGCGATTGGCTGGAAAGCGAAGCTTCAATAGGCTTGACACCAGGCATTCTGCGACAACAGACTCCGCTTCATCCTGTGACGTTGTCACTATGGACGACGGACATATGCTGAATGTTTCCCAACCCGGCCAGAGGTGGCAATGGATATCCACCGATGGAGCCACCGCATGGCTTCTTGCAACCACCTGGAAATGCAGTGCTCATTATCTTCTTGTACATGTGGAACGGTCTGGCTGCAATGCTGCAAGCACGGCCTTGCCCATTGTCCGCTAGCCACTCCTCACAGGCAATGTTACGGATGTCGCACAAGAATGCAACACGAGCTCTGTCTGGTGATGCTTGGACCACATGGCAAACATACATATGACCCTATATGGAACGAACCGGTACGGTAGCACAACTTACACCACATCTCACCACCGCTCCTGAATAGCATGTCTATTCGCAGTCGTCCGATCGAGACCCTGATACCAGCCAGGATGTTCAACAAGACCGATCCTCAGGCAAAAAAATACCGAGAAAATGTTGCTTACGAGTAGCTCTAGCCAAGCATGTGCTCCGAAGTGTTTCATGCCAAGCATCCATTTGGCCCACAGGACTGCCTGCAACGTCTACTTTTGATTAACTAATCAATGTGAGGCACGCTGACCTGCCACTCCAGCTTGCATCGTCTAAGATTCATTGCGAGTCTTCTGCGCCCAAGCCACGAAAAATCAACGGATGTTTTCAAGATTGTTCCAGCGCTTCACGGCACGCGGCCTGTACCCCCCGCGGAAAGCAACTGAATATGCCTTTTTGTGGGCGGCCCTATGCAACTCTCACTCAACAACTCCACGCAAACTCAACTGTGAGGAAATTGAGTAAGAGTGTTCTTCGAGGAGTGTCTTGCACGTTGGCAACTTGACAAGAACACTGCAAAAGGGCGGTCTGCGGCGAGTTTGTGAGCAGGTAAACAAAATATGGGAAGGTAGACTGAACGTGCCTGGTAGAGTGAAATTAGATCGATTTCAGGTTTCTCACACCAACAGTCATTCCTTTTGAGCAGGCGATCGTCCCTCAGACGGAGTTGGAATTGGAGATTTGCGGATTGCTGGATGAGATTCATCCTTCGGGTCCTGATTGGAACCTTCGTTGCGTCTTTGATGTCATTGCATTTGCCATGATCACACAGGAGTGGCCAAAGAAGACAGATCTCTGGTATGAGGAAGGCAAGTGAAAGCAATCGTCGAGCGGTGCGGCAACTAAAGTTGACGGGGAAAGGGTGTCGTGTCAAGCGCTGTTGCTTTGACGGTGAAGGGCAGCCGTGGCGCTGCGCAGGGGCGCAAGGGGCCCCCCACACGTGCAGCGGTGACGCAACAATGAATGGCCTTTTCAGACAGCCCGAGGTGGCAGGCGCTCGCATTCTTTTGTCAACGCAAATCTCTGCGCGCGGGCCACTGGAGCGGCACTGGCCAGAAGCCGTCAAAACCGCTTTCGCGGAATGCGATTGTCTCGCTAGCCACCCGACCCGCCGTGCCACATACATTCGTCCTACACTCTCAAAGGCAGAGAGAGGCCCTGTCGGGAGATTCCAGGATTCCGAAGAGCGGCACATTCTCACTTTGCAGGGACAGCAGGTGCTTGCCCCAGGTTCTGTCGTCACGGCAGCTGAAGGCCGCAAGTCCCCGGACGTGTGTCAGGGCACCCACATGTTGACCTATTATGTAACATCATGTAACCCATGTACCATCCCGCTGTGAGCCCGCTAAAAGCAGCCTGGGAAGGGCCTCACGGGCCCGGAATGAGCAACCCGGGGGCAAAAATCTGCAAAACGTCCGTCTTGTAGAAGACTTGTTGCTAAAATGGAGTAGGATGCTATCAGATCACCAAATCGTTTTATGTGCCCCATCTGATGGAATCACCATCGTTACACTACTATGGTAGCCATCGGTAACTAAACTTTAGCTCAGTCCTCATGTCTTTGCATGCTCTCTGGCTTCTGTATGTGTGACTGCTCACTACTGCCTACATGGGCTTTGGAACTGTTGCAACAGCCTGAGGAACTATCGGCACATTCTTGAACTTGGGAAGGGAAGCATATGCAGCAGCGTGGCAGTGTCCTTGCATATGAGATCCGAATTTAAAGTCCTGCTCGCCAGGACACTAATCCCATTATCATTGAAAAGACAACCCAAAAGCTACTCTAACTCATGTCGGTCTCTCCACCGGACTCCGGAGACTCCGGAGACGCTGGGTTTAGGGCTTCAAGGTTTAACGCAGTTTGGTTTTGGGCTTCGACCTCAGGATCTCCTCGTACAATATACCCCCGAGACGCCATTCTGGCGTCAGGGGTTGCAAGGTGTGCAGTCTGGCAGTTTTGTGGCTTGAGGTTTAAGCTGGTTCCAGGAAGGCTGGTGTTTCCTCGAGGACTTTTTGACAAGGCCGCAACGGAGCGTTTAGGGTACTCTGCGTGTTCTCGTGAGGCAGATCCGCCGCCAAAGCTTTTGAGGGCGTATCCAGCGCATCGCATAGCATGAGGCGTCCTGCCCGTTCCGTAAACGGTGATTTGAGCCCCAATTGGCACAGTCTTATAACGGCCACAGAGCCTGTAGCTCGTGATGCGCGAAAAAGCCCCATTCAGCAAGGCGCACTGGTCCATGTTGCTTGGTGGTAGTTGGGAGGGGGAGAAAAAAGGGCGTTTGCTGGGCGCCACTCCTCGCCGATAGGCGGGATCGACCTCAACGTGCTTTGGTTGCTCCCAAGCGATTTCTTTGCGAAGTTTACTTGTTGGTCAGTGCAATGCGCTCTCCTCACTCCATCTTCACTCGAACGGACGCGGAAGGGCGCATCCACACCAGTATGGGCGAATGCTCGGCTCCAATGCTGCTCGATTGAATGCTCCGCCGGCTTCGGCACGCCGCATGGGCGGCACTCGGCAGCTCTTTGTTGACCTCATCGTGCTAGCCCACCACGGTGCCCTCGGAAGCCGATGATTTGAAGAAGCCGATGATTTGAAACAAATAGTCCCTTTGCCCCTTTCAGGCCTCGTCCGCCCTCTCAGACTGTCGTTTTGAGCGGCGTCTTGTTTTGTCGGAACGGCCCACTGGAGGTGAACAGAAGTGCCCGAGTAGATGCTCGGGTGAATGCCATCCGGCGCAAACTGGCGTGGATGTTCTTAACCGTCTAGTGCCCGGACTAACAGAATTCGAGTTCGGCAAAGCTCTTTGCACAAAGTTTGCTTTCGGCCTTTGATCTCTCACGAGCAGCAGTTAGGATCCTAACGAACAGCAACAACAGCAAAAGCAGCAACACTTCCTGCAGCAGTTGTAGAAGCAACACTGGGACGAAAAAACATCACGAACATCAATGTCCTCAGTCGCAGCGGCGCCCAACACGCCTTGTAGCACTTGTCGCCAGGTTCAGCTGTCTTGCATTCTGCTGCTGGTGATGCAGACACGTTTGCAGATTGTGCCTCTGGCGCCTGCCAGCAAATCACACTCGGAGAAATATCAAAACACCTCGAAGCATCAGCACTTGCTTTGACAACATTCTTGCCTGCAAGACTCCTGCGGCTCTTAGATGATGCGATGGTCGTCCCTGAGAAGCCAGCTGTACCCTATCATTGAAACACAGGACTATCGGCGAAATTTGCACGTATGAAAGACGCATGTTCTAAGCGTAGTTTGTGATGTTCTTCGAAGGGACAGAAACCCAAGGCCCAGCTCTCGTTCATGACTTCGAGCAGCTTCTGCTCACACACACACACACACACACACACACGCACATGCATAAATATACATATATATATATATATATATATGTGTATATGCAGATTTACTCAGCTCATCTCACCTCAAGCCTGCGCCGCATATCCCTGGCTCATACAAAGTGGGATTGCAGCAATGTAGTTTGGAATCTCTGTCTCTTGGTCTGCATGCTTCTCGCCCCACAGACTGTTTGCCAAGGCTGAGATCCACACAGGATGCTCTGACGTGTTTGCCTTCAAACAAAGTTTCGGCGAAGCTGTGCAGACAAGTCCACAACTTGCCTTGAGCAAGGTGTCCTTCGTCGCGGTCTTCAGGGCCTGGGCCAAAGCACCAATCAACGAATATCTGAAGTGGCGATAGCGGCACCGCTCATCGCCTGTCGACATGCTGATGATTGCCGGATTACCCATCTTCAAAATGTGCCATCGTGCTGGAAGGCTGCTGATAGGGCTTCATCGGCGACAAGCCTTGAGGGTCTCTCCTGGCAAGTCGGACTGGTTGAACTGGCAAACGAAGTGAGCTTCCTGGGCCTCACAGCCCGTGCGTTTGAGTACAATTTTACTGAGTCCTACTGCAAGGTGACTTCCTGCTCTCTCCTTTGAAGCTTTAAACAGATACTGTAGCCGATGGCTTTGTCATGTGGCCCCATCCACCCCAGCAGCATCTGACGGTCTTCGATTCGGGCCGTAACTTTTTCAGGCACGACGCTCGCCTCCCACTACTCAACTCATGGCAGGGCAACCGCATCCACGGAACGGGCATCCTGTCGCACCCAGACACGACACGGCACTCACTGCAGTCTCACATCCGCCCAGCTTCCACTAATTCTGCTGGAAACGCTCACTTCTGCTCCCTTGCCCCGAGCTCAGGCACCAGCAACAATTCAAGAAGTATAGGCCGTTTTGAACACCCAGGAGGTTGTGCTTCCTTGCACGCTACTTGCTCCAGTCCTGCTTCAGTCGAACCGTGATGTTGTGGCCCAGCAGTACTGCAGATGCCTGCACCAAGAGTGTCGTGGCTGGAACCGGCAATGTTTTGAGACTGAGAAACACTACGTTCGTTGGATGTATTTATCATGTCTGTGTGCTACGGTTCGGTTTTCGGAGGCCCCCAGCCCATACAGCATCTGGAAGGCCTCCAGGAATCACACATTGTAAAGAGACACAGCTGGTAAATTTCTTCGCCGTGTAAAGCTCAAACCTGAACCACACATAGGCCCTGACCCCTAGCCTCCAATCCCACATGCCAAATTTAAGCAGCTGAATTTGCTAAACCTGTCCTGGCCTGGGTGAATCCGCTTAGATATTACTGCCAAAGAGCCGAGCAGCCGAACAGCTTCTGGTTTGTGGGGCAACAGACGGTCAGTCTGAACACATTCGGCAACTTGCTTCGAGGGCTCCAAACTGGTGTTGGCCAAGGCGCTGCCAAGAGCAAAAAGCCTGCCGCCAGCCACCATGTTCGACAGCTCCTGCAGCAGCAACCAATCGGAGATAGAAAGGGCCCGTGTGCGTCACAAACTCATCACGGTCCAACCACGCCGGGCTCTCAACATGAGTGAGTGATAGCACTTTCCCATCCCTGCCGATGCCTGTGGATATGGAAAGATCTAGCAGGTTCTTCAACGTCCAGCAACAGAGTCCGGTCTTGCTCCTGCAAACAAGCGCGAAGCATGCTTCGACTAGAAAAAAGCATCGATCACGTTAAGTGTCGTCCTCGCGATGTGTGCCCTTAGCTCTCGTCTGTTCCGGTGCGAGGCCCCATCGTATGAACATGAAGAACAACAACATGTTGAGACCAGTATAGACCAGTCCTCTGCTTCAGCAGAAGATGGCATATCCCAGAATCATCCAATCCATGCGGTCTGGAACCAGAAACTGCGCTCTGTAAAGCACATCGTTAAACCCATTGCAACTGCATGCACAACATCAGCTCCGCATGTAAATAAAAGCTGAAATTTTCGCAACGTCCAAAACATTGGGTCAAAATGACAAGAATGCGCGAGGGGATTGTGGATAGCATGCAACGGACCCAAGTGCGATTGCGTCAAGAAGCGGCCAAACGTGGAAGACACATTCCAAGAGTTTGGAATATCAGAATCTGAAACCGAAAACCACCTCAATTGAAAGCGAATTGCTCAACTTGAGCAATTCCGACCCCCGCTATCACCAGTGGAAAACCAAAACACTAAACCGTGAAAAACAAAAAGAAAATTAGCAAAAATTGCAGAACGGCGTAGAGGGCTGCGGCAGCATTGTGAAACATTGCTGGTCGGGCGCGACGTGGATCGTTTCTTTTGGTCCGCAGGATTCTTTGGTTTTCTTTGCCCCGTGGGCGCTCATGGCCAATCAGTGAAGAACCCTAAACAGAACCAAACCTCGCATTCCAATTTCATTTTGGGGGCCCAAACCCCGCCGAAACAGTTCTAAGCACCCTAAGCACTCCTTTTTTTTGGCGTGGTCGGGCCTCAGTGACAGCCTGGCTGCTGCGCTCGGTCCCTACAAGAAGCAAGAAAGCAAGAAGAAGCAAGAAAGCTAGAACAGAAAACTATACAAGGGTGAAAGCTTCGAAGAGCTAACTAAACAAAGGCCGCAAGTTCGAAAACTACGTCATCTACCCTGTTCGGCACCGGCACTACTGCACAAGCCTCTCAGCGAGCTATGCTCGCGAACAAGCTTGCATTGCTGCCAGGGCTTTGAAGGGGCTTTAAGGCAGGGAAGACTTTGAACGACCCTTTCGAAGGGCTTCATGCTTCCTGGAAAGGCATCAGGCGGAGGGACGCGGAAAGTTTCGCGTCTTCCGATAGACTTGATTGCAGACAAATAGCGCCAGCAATGAACATCTCCAGGTGCCACGCCCCCAGCACGTGGAGCGAGGGGAGAAAAACTAACGCAGGTCTTGGGACTTTCTTTTCTTCATTTGCTCGATTTCACAGCTTAAGCCACAGAACATTGTTGCTATCGTTGTGTGTAAATCTGCAACAGCGCAATAAGCTGCACTGTGGGTTGGCTGTCTTAGCAAAACTTGAGAATTCAGCACAAGGTGCAAAAGAGATACGCAACTGTGAAGGCAATCCAAGACTCCGATTGCATGATGATGGAACTGGTTCAAAGACAAAAAAATTGAAGGAGATGAAGATGCAACCTCCGTTTTGCAACGGAGGGCAAGTCTTGCAGTTAAGTGCTTGCAAAATCCGTGCATCAGCAACTCTCCTGGTGAAGCTGCAGTGCCAGACCCAATTAAGCTGCGAGAAGTTGTTCAGTTGGGTGAGTGTTCACTTTGTTTCGTTTTGTTTGGGTGTTTTGCATGGAGACAAACAGCTGAATGCCAGTTGCAGCCCAGGAAGTGGTCTTGTTTTTTTTGGCGTGAATGGGCCTCGTCGACTACGGCTGTAGCACTCGGTCCCTACAAACAAACAGACTACAAACAAGCAACTAAAAACTGCAAAGCGGTGAGACCAAAGGCGAAGCTCTACAAGGGCTGCGGCGCACAGGCTTTGCCGGTGTTAGCCGTTCAACCCATCTACGGAGCCTCAGCGACCGATCAGAAGCAACAAAGAGCCGTCGCTCTGAGCTGCCCAAAGCAACAGGTGGAGCCAAGACCAAGCTCCGGCCGCCGTTCTAGTCTCGTCAGACAACGGGCAGCCCCTGCGCTTTGTTTCGTCACGGTCAAGCACACCAAAGTCCAGAAGTCCAATTCGCCGGAAAGAAGGGCTTCAGAGCTGTCGGTGCCCGAGTCGTTGCGACTCAAAGCCGGCCAGAAATGGCCGTAACCCAGGATCAAGACAGACGATCCACGGTGTGTAAATTCTGTGGTGGAGTGGCTGCCGGCGGTCATTTTCGCCAAACTACGTGCACAGGTAGACCAGGCAAGGGAGTAGACCGTGGGAAACTCCTGGTGTGCGTTAGTCCGGCAGCGCAACGCACAGAACATTCCAAGTTAGCGGGTCTCCCAAGACAGAGCCTGAGCCATGGCAAGAGTCCTGTCTCGTGCGGGAGACGTCATCCGCACGCCCGGAATCAACTGGGGGAATTTTGCCCATACCCGTCAAAGCGTCCCTCAAGACCACGCAGTTCGCGCCCCGCTGGAAGGGACAGTGCGAATGTAACAAAGACCGGGTCGATGTCACAAAATGAGGTAATCTGAAACATGTCGAAGCCCGAGTATTGACGTTGGGCGGCCTCTCGTTCCACGCACATGCCAAGAAGCAAGGAAGAGAGGGCCGTGCGGGGGTTAGAAAACGGACATCGACGTACGTCGACGTGCTGGCAGCCCAACACGACGCAACCAAGTCAGGGCACCGTGCAAGTGACCAGGCAAGGGTGTGGAATATGGAGAACTCCTGGTGTGCAAGAGTTAGCGATCGGACCTCAACGACGTATGTCGTCGGTCGGCGTGCCATCAGATCGAGGCCCTCCGCGGGCCAGAAGAATGAGCCGCCGAGCCGGCATAATCGAACAGTGGATGCAGGGCGGAAGGATACCACCTGCCCGTTTCGTGAGACGCAATGTTACTCAGGGCTATGTAGCTCTCTCAGCTTCCAGAATATCGACACAACGACGTATGTCGTCGGTCCTAGGTCGCATAGAGCGGAGGTCACCTAGTGGAGCCGGTCGCTGCATCGTACGGCCAGCTGTCGAGTAAGCGTTGCATGTCACGGCCACTCGAGGGGAAGTGACTCTCCTTCAGGAGATAGAGCATTTGATAGTTCCCTTCGTTGTACATTTCCTTCAAGCGTGAGTAGGAGTATTGGTGGTTGTCGTGGTCCTCACTATGAAGGTATGGCATCAGTTCCGTGGATATGCAGGGAAGTTGGAGGCCGGGTCCGAGGCCCCCTGCTCTGAGGAGTTCGGTTAATGTATTCGCAGCTGCTTCCTATGTGCAGCTTTATATGTAAAGCATATACATATAAAGCAAATGGAAAATATTCAAATGGAATTGATGCAGTCACTCGCAAAGCACTCGTTCCTTTGTTCTCTGGCGGGAATGCAGATCATGCTGTCCGAGCAAGGGGTGGACCTTGCAGTGAAACTGATCTGCATGTTTCCCCCATCCGGTGAGATCTAGGTGCATCAAAAGGCACCGACCTGTCACCGATGAAGGAATGCAGAAAGGTCATGCTTCTTAGAAGATGGCCACAAAAGGATCGCTTGATGCAGATGCAAGCATCAGGAGCCAGCAACGCAAGTAAAGTTGCGACCACCAGAATGCAGATGCCAGCACTGGACTCCCCAAACAAAGGGAAGAGGTGGGACAAAATTTTCAGCCTGCGATGCAGGCGAGCTGGCAGCTGCGAGCCTGCTTGCTGCAATGTACATGAAGTGTCATGAAATGCAGCAAGCATGCAAAACATTACCAAACACTCGTGAGCAAGCACACATACCGTTCGGTTAATGTATTCGCAGCTGCTTCCTATGTGCAGCTTTATATGTAAAGCATATACATATAAAGCAAATGGAAAATATTCAAATGGAACTGATGCAGTCACTCGCAAAGCACTCGTTCCTTTGTTCTCTGGCGGGACTGCAGATCATGCTGTCCGAGCAAGGGGTGGACCTTGCAGTGAAACTGATCTGCATGTTTCCCCCAAATGCAATCTGCCAGAGAACCGAAGTCGCGCATCAATTCCCCAAATGAAAAACGTGCGACAAGGTGATTAGAGTGCTGCTCCTAAAGGAGAGCTACTCGGAATGCAGAAAGACGGCTTCCAAGATGGAGGCGAAATCGAAATGGAAGGCGAGGCATTCCAAAGTGCCTTCAATGAAATTCGACGCCGTCGGGAGAGGCTCCAACGAGCTGGCAAAGCAGCCGGTGGAAGCCAGCGACTCAAAAAGTCCGCTTCAGTGTTCTTTGGACCTGCAATGTGATGTACATCCAAGTGGACGCCAGTAAAACTGCTTAAAATAGCCAGTCGCTGCACAAATGCAGCGAGAGGCCAGGACGTAGTAAAAAGCTTGTTGGCAGTGGCTTCAGCCCCACTGTTGTCACACCAGGAATGCATGCGAACCGACAATTTGCAACCAGGGCTTAGTGCACTCAAAAGCCAAACTAATGCAATCTGACCGAGGCACTCATAACACGTAATGTCCTTGTGCGCCTCGGACTTCAATGGGAGCTCTGCGAATGCAAAGTCCTCCACAGTAAAGCATTCTGAAAACCAAAATTCGCCACCTGGTAAAGCAATGTAGCCGCCTATAGCGAAAGTGCGGCCATTGCCCATGGCATCAGCTGCTGCCTCCACCTGTAAATGCTCCATAGGGCGCGGGCGAAGCGATCGCCAAATTGGAGGCAATGCAGACCAATCAAGCCAGAACTGCAACAAACTTCTGGAGGATGGACTCAATGCACGACGCTTGGAGGCAGAGTCCGCAATGCGAAGCCAGATATCCTTATCACCAAGGTTGCAATGTAAAAGTTCGCGCTTTGTGGCAACTTTGTGATGTCTCACAGCAAGAACACGGCTGCCCACCGTAATCGCCGATCCAGGAGGTAACTTGACCAAATGTAAAGTGTCGTTCAAGCAAGAAATGAATCATTGCCAGTCGTTCTGTCGAACACTGAAGTTGGTTGCACGTGGAGTGTTGAGGTCTTGATAAAGAGACCTAAGCCATGGCCTAGCCAATGGAAAAAGTTTGAAAAGCCACTGCAACATGCCGCATAACTTGCTCAATGTAGCCCGATCAGTGTACTTGCCACGGAGTGCAGACACGATAACCGAATGCAACTTTTCAAGCTTGTCAGATGGGATGCAAACGCAGCCCATACTGAAATTTAGCTCCCATCCTATCCAACGAATGGAGCAGCCAAACTGTAACTTTTTCCAGGACAAGGGGATGG